CATTCTGAGAATCTATAGAAGAAATCTTTTCTAAGACAGAAAAAAAAAATATATGGAGCTGCAAAACGAGTTCAAAAGCGTTAACATATAAAGGTTTTAAAATTATTATTAATCGCAAAAAAAGATGACTATAAAAGGCGTTCCAGAAACTTAACTACATTCACTCACACAAGGATCTTGTTGAAACACCGTCAAAGCAGCAAGGCGAAGAATAGAGATGTTGACATTTCTCATGACAAATAAGGCCCCCAGAGGATTTCGCTATTCCAAGCAAACAACTGCTATTTGTTACTGGAGAGACCATACCCAAGGAATAACCAAATTCTTTATGAAAATTCCTAGCAAACGTCAAGATGATTCCAAGCAGATACTGCTGTTACAAATAACGGTAAGAGAAGATTTACCAAAAAATTCTTTGCCTTAGTCATTCGCCAAACAATTTACACTTCAAAGCTACTAGGCCTGTTGCGAAATTCAATTTCTCTATATTGTCCGCAACGATCGTTGAGTTCCATGACATCACAATGATATAGCCATTTCATGACCTCTGAATAATTTGGAACAGGTCGCATGCGAAGCCACAGGAAGTTAGTACAGGAAAGCGACTAACTGAACTGATACGCTTTTTACGCACAACAACAATTTCCGCTAGTGATTAGAACGAAAGATGAACTAAACCGAAAGATCCTGAAGATACGGCACAACATTAAACAGCAAAAGGGCAAAACAAGCACACATGGTATAATCATTAACCAAGTAATACTAGCTTTTCTCTCTACAAGGAAATGGAAATATAAACGATATAAAGCGCAAATATTTAAGGAATAAGATTACATAACAAATTCCTTAATCTACCGAACGTTCTTCCCATTCTCGTAAATAAAGACGAGTAAAAAACTTAAACTGTCTCGTGATAATTTTGTCACGATGAACTCAACTGGACATTGATGTCAAAAACGTAAAATGTGTGTGTTCATGATCGAATCTATCTCATTATCCCATTTGTCAACATGTTGAGATTAAACGGCATAAGAAAAGATAGAGAAAGGAAGAAGGAGAGTAGCATTCATAGAACTTGAGCTGAGACGAAAAAAATGGGGAAAACGATAATATTACAGTAAAAGAAATGGAATAAAAAAGAGAACAAGTTAAGAGAAGATAACATAACGCACGAGATTTAATCCATCACACTCTTTGACTCGGAGAAGGAAGTGCATTCCTGACAGGAGAGGGGAGGAAGGGTGCACTTGCTCTTTCCTAAGCACGACTATTTGACTGATTCTATTTAAACCAGCTTGAGAACAAAGTGAGTTCGCGGACATCATCTCGTTCCTATGACGATCGTCAAAGCGTACGATCGAGGACTTCAACGCTGTTGTCGGCGACCAAAGCAAATGTGTAAGCAAAGCGATCGATTTAGGGACTCTCCCACTTACGGTTCGTGGAACGCCAACACTAATGCGAGATGT